ATATATATTCTTTTTTTTTAAGTAGGCTTTATGCCCAACGTGGGGCTTGAACTCACGACCCCAAGTCCAAGAGTTGCATGCTCTATCCACTGAGCCAGCCAGGCGCCCCAACCCTATATATATTCTAATTGCTTGATGTTGGTATATAAGAAAACAATTTGTTTTTTTTTTTTTTTAAGATTTTATGTATTTATTTATTTGACAGAGAGAGAGAGGACAAGCAGGGGGAGCAGCAGAGGGAGAGGGAGAAGTAGGCTCCCCACTGAGCAAGGAGCCCAATGTGGGGCTTGTTCCCAGGACCCCGGTTCATGACTTGAGCTAAAGGCAGACACTTAACCGACTGAGCCACCCAGGCACCCCAACAATTTGTTTTTATAATTTAAAAAGGTTATTATCTAAAACGACTCAAGAAAAAATAGAAAATCTCAACAGACCTATAACAGGTAAAGAGATTCAATCAGTCATCATAAACCTCCCAGCAAAGAAAAGACCTGATCAGAGGGCTTCACTGGTGGATCTACCAAACATTTAAAGAATTAACACCAATCTTTCTCAACCTCCTCCAAAAAACTAAAGAGAGAACACTTCCTAATTCATTCTGTGAGGCCAAAATTACCCTGATACCAAAGCCAAAGCCAGAAAAAGACATTAAAAGAAAAGCAAATCTAATCCAACAGCAAATTGAAAGGATTATTCACCATGACCAAGAGGGATCTATCCCAGGAATGCAAGGGTGGTTCAACAGAAGAAAACCAATCAGCATAACACCTCACATTAATAGAACAAAGGGAAAAAGCATGATGTTATGTATATTCTACCACAATAAAAAATTACCTCGCCACCTTTTCTGAAATCCCTTATCCTAAATTTTTGCATCACTTAGAAAGATAAAAGGGATCAGACTATAAGTACTGCATTGCATTCTCCTTTTTTTTTTTTTTTTTTACTAAACATGTATTGGTCTTTCCAAACTAATACTTTTAGATATATTGCAACCCCTATAACAGCTTCTTAATTTCCTATCATGCAAATAGGCCATGATTCTTTGAACTAGTCCCTAATTCATGGATATTCAGGTTACTTCTCAAGTTTTGCTCATGCAAAGAACACTGCTAAACAGTCTTACCCTTCTGCAAGTAGTTCTATGGGATAAAGTCCTAGAAGTAGAAATAATAGGTCAAACGGTATCCACATTTGAAAAGTCTCTTCAGTTCTCTCCCACTAAAGAGGGCTGTCTGAATCAGCCAGACGTTGTGTAACACACTAGAAAGTATTCTGCTGGTTCTGCACGTAGTTTTTAAAACCAGAACAGAGGACAAGTACTGTCAAAAATTTTTGGCATCAGTTAGATCAGGGGTTGGCAAATGACAGCCTACAGACCAAATCCACCTTGCTGCCTATTTTTACTTAGCCCACAAGCTAAGAATGGTTCTGTTTTTTGTTTTTACATTTTTAAATGATTAAAAAACAGGGGCGCCTGGCTGGCTCAGTCAGTAGAGCATGCAGCTCTCGATCTTGGAGCTGTGAGTTCGAGCACCACATTGGGTGTAGAGCTTACTTAAAAAAAATTAAAATGTAATTGGATTTGAAGTGTACAAAATTTGTGTAACTCCTAAAAATGGAGAGTAAATATAAAATATCAAAAAACTATTTCAGGGGCGCCTGGCTGGCTGTCGTTAAGCGTCTGCCTTCGACTCAGGTCATGATCCCAGAGTCCTGGGATTGAGCCCCACGTCAGGCTCCCTGCTTGACAGGAAGCCTGCTTCTCCCTCTCCCACTCCCCCTGCTTGTGTTCCCTCTCTCGCTGTGTCTCTCACTGTCAAATAAATAAAAAGAACCTTTAAAAAAAAACTATTTTAGTTATTTTAATATCAAAAATTATTTTTAAAAATGATTAAAAAACAAAACCAAAAGAATATTTCATGAAATGGAAAAATGATAGGAAATTCAAATTTCAGTGTTCATAAATAAAGTTTTACTGAAACACAGCCACACTCATGTTTATGTATCAGCTGCTTTCTTACTTCAACAGCAGAGTTGAGTAGTTGCAACAGAGCCTTTATGGCTGTAAAGCCTAACATATTTACTGTCTGGCCCTTTACAGAAACAGTTTGCTGATCTCCAATCTAAGCAATAACGTTTGTTTTTAAGGATTTTACTTATGTATTTGAGAGAGAGAGAGAGCACAGCAGGGGGAGCAGCAAAGGGAGAGGGAGAAGCAGACTCCCCACCCACTTAGCAGAGAGCACGATGCGGGGCTCGATCCCAGGACCCAAGGATCATGACCTGAGCCAAAGGCAGCCACTTAACCAACTGAGCCACCCAGGCACCCCTAAGCAGTAACATTTTTAAGGAGTAGGAAACCCAATTCTCTAAACAAAGGGCAAAGAACAAATTGTCATAGAGCTAACAAAGAAATGTTCCAAGGGGTTAGTGTCTCTTGGCTCTTTGTGTGAGTGAGGAGGTGAATGGCTTCACATTTCCTTCATTACTGTGAGAAGCAGCCATTGGAAGGCCAAGTAGCTACCGCACTTCTGGTTACAAGACTCCACTTTCCATGGACTCTTTTTTGGGTACTAATGTAAATGCTGCTGTGTTTTTAATTTCAAGTTCCAGTTGTTTACTGCTGGTATACAGGAAAGGGATTGACTTTTGCATATTAACCTTGTATCCTACAATCATGCTATAATTGCTTATTAGTTCCAGTTTTTGTTGATTCCTTAGATCTACGTAGACCGTCGTGTCATCTGTTCCATGAACTCTTGATCCAAGTTGTTTTTCCCATAAATTCAGTTTTTCCTTTGCCACCAAATAGTTACAATTAGAGATGCCAGCAATAGGGCGCCTGGGTGGCTCAGTTGGTTGGGCGACTGCCTTTGGCTCAGGTCATGATCCTGGAGTCCCAGGATCGAGTCCCACATCGGGCTCCCTGCTGAGCAGGGAGTCTGCTTCTCCCTCTGACCCTCCCTCCTCTCATGTGCTCTCTCTCTCTCAAATAAATAAATAAAATCTTTAAAAAAAAAGAGAGAGATGCCAGCTATAAATAATTTTTCAGAGATAGAGTATATTCTCCCAGTGCTTTCTGAGGCTACCTTCCCACTCGATAGAGTGAAAATGGAACAGGAGACGTGACAAAGCTTAAATGAAGAGAAAAAGCAAGCACACATAAACACTGTGACGTTACCATGAAACTTGCCCTGATTAGAACTGACTAATGTAAAAGTTATAGGATTATTTAAGCAGTTTACCAGATATCAGGACCAGGGAGCAAAATTTTGCAGAGGAGGAAATAGAACAAAATTACCATATGTCATTTGGGATAGTTGCTGATAGTTATCATTGCTGGCTCGACAATTTGGTTCTATAGTCAACATGCCATCAGTGGAAAGTGTGTTCTCAGTAAGTTCTGTTTCAGAATCTTCCATTATCACAACATCAATATCATTGCCATCACTGCCATCCTCAACAGTTACCATAATATAATCTAGGAATAAGCAAAGAGAAAGTTTAGATACCACATAAAATAATCAGTGTCTAGAGGAAACCACCTTATAAAGTTATGGAGTGTTTAAAAACACATTTTTACTGAAAAAATTGTACTAAATATTTTCATGTCTCTAATCCCTGCAAGTCAGCTAAGAAATAAATTGCTTAGTATGAAGCTTTAAGAGATATATGAGTGTTTATATGCATGTGTATACACACATACACTAGTATCTCTAGTACTTCCAGTTTTATAGAGCAATAAATTTCTTCTTTAAAAAACGTGACCACCTGGCCATGCTGCTCTGTGTTCAGTGATATGCGTTTAACTTTTAAATGCTACAGCTGACGTTACATAGCCACACTCTACTGACCAAGAGTTCCCAAACTTGGTCTCTAAAACTCAGTATTAATCTTTGATAATAAATAATGTAGAAATAACGTACAGTCCTAACTGTTGTTATGAAACAAATTAAATTCAAATTGAATCTCACAGAATGTAAAATAAGTGGCCACATATAAACTAGATGTGAAATATCAACTCCATAAACCATTTTAATGAATATGACAAATAGCACACCATGCATAATGTATGCTATATAAATGGGCTTTTTTGCTTTTTACAATTGGCCTGAAAAAGAAGAACATGTTTAAGCTCGAAGTATTAACTCGCAGATCACATGTACACTGCATCACAACTTGGACTCTACATTTATTTGAAATAGACCAAAGCATTACAATCAAGTAATTAGCCAGTGTGCTGGTGTGAAAATGATACTGAATTAGGAATCACATGATGTGGGTTCCAATTCAGGCTCTTTAGCCATCCAGAGGTATGACCTTTCAGCCAGATACATTTATTCTTTTGCCTCTGTTTTCTCATCCTTAAAAACATGGCACTGGGTTTGGAGATGTACTGTGAAGTCCACTTAATAGTCTTCATGGAAAAAATGGAACATTAGAAACTACCTAATTATTCAAACAAAAGGGAATTGGTTAAATAAATTATGGCATTTCCATATGATGAAATGGCATACTGCCAATGAGAAACACATTCTCATTTAGTGATATTAGAAATGCTAGTGAAATAATGTCAAAGCAGGGAGAAAGGCTCAAAGCAGAAAAAATACGATGTAATCCTAACTTTGAGAACAGAAGGAAACATACTAATTGTTATCTCTAAGTCACTATCTCTGGGTGGCAAAATGACCTTCATTAGACTTCTCTGTATTTGTTAAGAGTCTCTACAATAAACTTTATAGACTTCATAATCAGAAGAAAATAACAAAGGTAATTAAAGTCTTATTTTTAAGATAAGCTTTTATATGTCAACAGATTTTTTGCACTAGACCCAGTAAAGCTACTGACAATTCCACCCAGGTTTCTCAGTAAATTTGTAAAATTCCAATTAATTCCTTTAGATATACACATAACCTTCATAAGCCATTTTTAGAAGACATTAAAATATTTGGAAGCTTTTGGAAGGTTACACCTCTAAGGTGCAAGGAACCAAGTTGCCGTGAACTTAATCAGACAAGGCACAGTTCAGAAAGATGCAGGCTGCAACTTTCCTTTCAGATGAAGACCACTGCAAGAAATCCACCCCAAAACACGGCAGATGACAACGGCCAGACTGGTCTGCTTTTCTAGCAAAACTGTGTCAATACATTGAACAACCACTTTCTAAATCTCCTAGCAGAACTCTCAAAAGCAGCCCTTCCACATCCATATCGGAACTCTAGAGACTACGAAGTTGACCAAATGAGAGAGAATGCCACCAAAACTGTATCCCAGAGCCCAGCACTTGCTGCAGGCAGGCTTGAAACTGAATCGAGCCCGTGCCCTGCTTTAGAAAACACTGTGCAGAAGAGTTGTTTGTAAAATCATTATCTGCAAACATTAAATCAGTTTACCACTTAATGTCATAAAACCACAAAGCAGTCCCAATTTGGGGAGAGCTAGGTAGAGGCGGAAAGGGGGCAATTCCCAACACATTAAGTTAGAGCCTTTTCTGTCAAACAATGGTGCTCAGTCATACAGCAGGTGGGATGGGCCCTGAAGTATGCTTGGAAGTGCACCTCTATTTTCTAGGGGTCCTAACATTTTGTAGTATCCTCTGACTCCTTTTTAAGTCTCATCTGCGCTCTTGAAGCAAAGAACTGGCTCTTTACCCAGGGACTTCGCCACACCTACATCTTTATTTTCTTTCTCCTTCTGTATGTTTTCACAATAAAACAACAAGGCTGCACTGTCTGTCTTTGAGCAAACGCAGTCACCACCAAAGCCTCAAAAATCAACTTCTCAATTTCAAGAGATGTCATAATGAATCAACTACTAATTTGTCAATCCTTTAAACTCAAAATTCTAATAGTCTAAGTCTTCGTCCTTTTTTTTTTTTTTTTAAGATTTTATTTATTTATTCATGAGAGACAGAGCGGGAGAGAGAGAGAGACAAAAGCAGAGGGAGAAGCAGGCTCCCAAGGAGCAGGGCGCCCGATGCGGGACTCGATCCCAGGACCCTGGGATCATGACCTGAGCCGAAGGCAGACACTTAACCGACTGAGCCACCCAGGCGCCCCTGTCTTCGTCCTTTTGGACCCCTACTTCCTCCGACAGGGAATGAGAAAGGATAAAGGATCAACTCTTCCCAGGGAGTCAGCACCAAGTACTTAACAAGTAGCCAAATCTCAAAAGCTTGCACGCACAAGCATCTCAGGAGAGGTGGTGAGAAACACCCAAGCCTCCCCACCGCAGCGCTGCTGAATACAAGGCTGTAAAGTGCAGATTTAACCTTCCGCAAATCAAATCGTCTCCTCCCAGGAGTTCCCCCCGCCGCTAAGCCAAGTCACTTTCGTGCCCTAATGGTCCATGCTCCACAGCTGTTTGTGCTGCGCACACATCCCACAAGGCCTTTTGGAAAAAAAAGCTCAAGGAAAAAGTGCCGCTGTACAGACCTATTCTGGCGCCAGTGCCCGCCACGCCACCTTGCAGAAGGCTCAGGGAAACAGATCACAGCGCCCCCGCCTCCCCTGTGGCGACCGCTGAGGCTGTTTTATGACCACGAGGGGTCCTAGAAAGAACCAACGCCCTCGTGCTGGAAACCAAGCCCCGCCTCTCACAATGTGGCTCTCTTGAGCCCCAGTGTCACCTCGAGCCTCTCAGACGCCAGGAGCCCCGGAAACGCCATGAGCCCCAGAGACCCCTCAAACCCCAGGATCACCTCAGGCTCCGAGGATACTACCGAAGAATCCAGTGAGCCCTAGGGCCAACTCAAGCCCCAAGTACACCATTAACCCCAGGGACCCCTCAAATTCTAGAATCACCTTGACCCCTAGGATGCCATGAATTCTAGGGACGCCATGAGCCCAAGCATCACCTCAAGTCCATGGGACACCATGAACTCCAGGGACCCCACGAGCCCCAGGATCAGCTCGAGCCCTTGAAACACCATGAACCCAAGGATCCCCCGGACCCAGGGCCAGACCAAGCCTGCAACACCTCGGTTCCTATATGCCCACCAAATGGGGACAGCGGTCCAGAGGTCATCACCGGACACGCCATAGCCGATGACGAGACAATGCCTTAGTCGCCTGCGAGGCCCTCTAGGTAGGCACAGGGCAAACCCTCTGTTTCCCCTCCCCCCACCACCCGGTAGGGTGAAGAAAGAGGCAGAAGCGAGTGGAACAGATTTGGGAAGGGCTCCTTACCCTCTTCAGACATCGTGAGGCAGGGAGTCCCACTCTGAGTGCCTTAGGCTCGGCGTCTGCGCTGCAGCTGGATCGGCTGGATCGTGACCGTGCCCACGAGGCAACAGCAGCAGAGAGAGGCGCCAAGCGGAAGGCGCCCAAACTTACCCCCCTAAGAGAAGTTTCTGCGACTGCGCAGTAGCGCCCAGAGCCCGCCGTGGGAGCGCAACTGTTGGGGGGAAGGGCAGAAGTGGCGCCAAGTGTGGTGCCTTGCCTGGCTCCGTTTCTATCTATATGTACACATTTTTAAGTGTGTTTCCCCCTTCCCCCAAAATGTGAACCAGTAGCCACCAGTGTAATTCTGCTCTTCTCAAAATGCTCCTCACACAGTACATCATAGAAAAAATGTACAATGTCAGAATTCAGACTTTGTAATGTTTTCCGGGTTGTGTACTCATCGAGTCCAGCACCAGCTTTGGGAACAAATCCGAACACAATCCAACTTTTAAAATGTGTCCGTAATAAGACCCGCTAAATCCACGCCACCCTGCACTTCAGCTGTCCTACTCTCTACTTGCCATTTTCCAAAAAGCCATGTCCTTCATCCCCACTTAAAATAGTAATAGCTAACAATTTACTAACTGCTCACCACAAACCAGCCGCTTAGTATGGCTCACCTTATGTGGTCCTCAACGGCTATAACAAGTCAGTATTATTGTCCCATTTTATTTACTTTTTTTAAACATTTTATTTATTTGACAGAGATAGCGAGAGCAGGAACACAAGCAGGGGGAGTGGGAGAGGGAGAAGCGGGCTTCCCGCCGAGCTCGGAGCCCACTCGGGGCTCGATCTCAGGACCCGGAGATCATGACCTGAGCCGAAGGCAGACACTTAACTGAGCTACCCAGGCGGCCTTACCCATTTTAAAGATACAGAAACAGATGCTTAGAGAGTTTAACTTGCTCAAAACCACAAGGCTAGCAGCAGGATTATGATTTGCACACACATACCCTGCCCCACAAAGCACATGCTCACATCCCCTCCACTAGCCTTCCTCCTACTCCGTTGCTTATGGAAATTTTCCACACCCTTCAAATCTTGTTCCAGACATCTATTCTTTTTTTTTTTTTTAAGATTTTTTAAAATTTATTTATTTGAGAGAGAGCAAGAGAGAGAGCACGAGTGGGGTGAGGGGCAGAGGGAGAAGCAGGCTCCCGGCTGAACAGGGAGCCCAATTCCCGCCGATTGGGGGGAGGGGGGCTCCAGGATTATGACCTGAGCCACCCAGACGCCCCTGCTACACGCACATCTATTTGAATAATATCTGCACCAAGACACTTTGCTACAGCCCCCTGGTAAGAATGAGGACCAACACCATGCATTATTTATATTAAATAGTAGTTCCATCACAAGGTTCTAAGAATTAAAAGTTAGGAAATATAAAGCACCCAGTACAGTGCCTGGAATTCTAGTTCATTTCGCTGTGTCATTTACACAGTGACTCCTGGCACCGTGCATCTCTTCATCATAGGGGAAGGGTAAATTTCTTCACTTATGAAAAGGAAAGGTGCATTTTGTTAGGTGGGAAATACACAGTTGTTTCCCTGTTGTAAGGGAGTGTAAATGTGTGCAGGAGGGTGCATAAGGAAGCTGAAGAGAAGAATGCACTATACAGTTTGATATATTACCTCTCAGCCAAATTCAGCCCTTTTTCCTGCTCTGAGAAAATGGATATGGGCCCTTTAAATGTTTTCCTTTTGCTAGTAGCACAGTTGAACACTTTTCAGTAGGAAACATGGGAAAGAGAGTGTAGAAGAAACAAGTTGTGCTTCCTAGTCCCCGTTTGCTCTCTAGGCAGGCTGCTGCAGAGTGCAGCCTCCCAACCCAAACACACACCCAACAGAGCATGTTTCCAGCACGTTCTAGAGGGCAGCTCTACAACAAGTCCCACCAATGCTGCACCTACTTACCTCACTCAGTGAGTCAGAGTGGAGCCTTCTTCGGTGTAATGTCTAGTCCTAGAGGTACTAGCTCTTGTTTGTAGCTCTTATTACTATACTCTTTTGAGTTTCCTTTTTTTCTTACTAGCCAGTCCCGCATTACTCCAATCCTGATACACTTAATACTTCCTTATATTAAACATTCTCTGTTCAAATTACTGTGTGGTCTTTCTCTTCATCTCGGACCCAGACTGATCCACTCACCCTTTTGAGTTTCATCAGCTAGTGCTCAATGGGAACACAAGGTCTGTTCCTACACTGTAATTAAGCATCCAACAAGATGTTCAACAACCACTTCAGTTTCATTTCTAGTCAATCCTCTCCATTCATTCCTCTGACCCCTTTTCTCTATAGAGAGATGCAGAATGGAAGGATAGACTTTCCTGCTGTCACTCCTAAGGCTAGCTCTTCTTCTGGTCTACCTAGGCTGCATCAACCTGAGTAAGGCAAAGTAGAGTGCCCGACGGGCAAGGGAGACCTGCCGGTGGTGGAGGACAAGCAATGGTGGTAGTGCCGTCTACATGTTCTCACCTGAGAGATGATTCCCACAAGCTATTGACACGGCAGTGTTTCTATCAAAACCCTGTGCAGCCATGGGAACCTGGAGTTCTAATTCTTATTTTTTTTTTTAACATTTTATTTATTTGAGAGAGCAGAGCGACAGACAGAGCCCGAGTTGGGAGGAGGGACAGAGGGAGAGGGACAAGCAGATGCCCTACTCAGTAGGAACCCTGATGCAGAGCTCAAGCCCAGGACTCCAAGATCATGATCTAAGCCAAAGGCAGACACTTCAGCGACTGAGCCACCCAGGTGCCCCTGGAGTTCTAATTCTTGCAGTGATGAACTACATAATACAGAGCCACCAGGCCCCTGAGAAACAACTAAAAAAGCTGGATGAACTGTTCTTAAAATACTCTCAAGAACAACAAAAAGCAATTACTGAACTAAGAGCTCTGAAAGACCAGAAACCTAGAAAAATGTAAAAAGCTGGCAGGACTGCTTTTATTCTAAGACACTAATCTAGAAAAGTCAGAAAGAGGCCAGGCTGTACTTCTGGTGACTTTGTAGGACTAGAGGCAAAAGTCAGAATCTGGGACCCACCAATGGCAGAGGGCTGGTAAACCACCCTCTGCTTGAACAGGGACCATAGTCACCCCGTCAGAGTAAAAGTGATCAAGGGGCACCTGGGTGGCTCAGTTGGTTGAGCGACTGCCTTTAGCTCAGGTCATGATCCTGGGGTCCTGGGATCAAACCCCACATTGAGCTCCCTGCTGAGCAAGGAGCCTACTTCTCCCTCATCCTTTGCCTGCCACTCCTGCTTGTGTTCTCTCTCTCTGTCGAATAAATAAATAAAATTGTTAATTTAAAAAAAAAACAGAATTAAACAACAGTTAACAACACAGACTATGGTTCACTCTCATATTATAGAAGGATTTAACACACCGAGGTGCCTGGCATAAGCAAACAAAAATTCTTGGCCATGAATATAAAATCAAATTATTTCTACAAACGGTATCTAAATAGAATATCCAGCACAAAGTAGAATATAACCAAGTTTAGGAGAAGGAAAGATGGAAGAAATAAGCAATAAAAACATCTGTGCTGAGTGACAGCGCCTCCTGCTAGCAGCCACTGCAACAACCACACGGCGCTCGCCGGGTTGGTGGTCCTGACACCCGCACCTTGCTAATGACATTGGTCCTCTGGAAACAGTCCGTGAGCATCTTAGGACATCCGGGGGAAGGATCCAGATTGAAAATACCCAGGACCCCAAGTTTTCAGGAAGGCGCCTCCTCACCCTTTAGTAATGGATGGAAAACCTTGTTTCGGCAAAGCCAGGGAGAGAGGCTGAACTAGGAGCCGGAGGATGGGCGCCACAGACTCAGAGCGCATGGAGCCCAAGCGACAACCCCCCCAACCTTGGTGGGGAGGAGAGAAATCCAGCAGGTGCAGGGCAGTGGGGCTTTTGGAAGGCAACAGGGAAGGACGGAAGGTGAGGTCTCCAAGAGAGCGCGGGCCCCAGACTCGAGCCCCTGCCCTCGAGGGAGTTACACGTGACAGCTGCCACGGGTCACTCTTCTAAATGCCCGTTCTTCGCCCTGGCCGCACGTGGATCCACCAGGGGAGCTGTGAACACTGGGCCCCAGACGTTCCCACGGCCCTGGTCAGGGGAGGCAGGCTGCTGAGCTTGACGGCGTCCAGGGGATTCCCACGGGCACCAGGCTGAGGGGCACTGCTCTGTACGCTTCGTGGGGCCGGTCCCAGGACCATGGCATTGAATTCTCGCGTCACCCGGGCAGGTTCACGTTACCAGCCTGGTTTATGGGCAGCAGGAGAGGGCAGGCCATGGCCACGGCGCTGCAAGAAGAGGGTGTGAAGTGACCGTAAATGCGACCGACAGGACCATGACCCACTCTGCCCACGAGACCGGAGGGGTGCGACACTCACAGAGCAGCACTGAGCTCTGTGGTGCGCAGGACACTACCGGTTTTATTCAGCTC